TMTYATKGKWMATACASGGTTARTCTCAACTCKGGGAAAATGCAAATGTTCAAGACTATTGTATATATATTTAATAATGACATTTTATCATGCTCTCTTTTGTGTTTGTAACTAAGGTCTTTGAACAGGAGAATCTGTTGTGAAATAAAGCAGCTGTATTGTGCTTTGAGTTCGAAAATGAAGTATTATCCTACTTCATTTATAGTTTGAAAATATGCAACATATTGCCCTGTTACGTAATCCAGAACCCAAATTCCAAAAAAAAAATTACTTTGGAATCCAGAATTCTGTTAGCAGACATTTTTATAATCATCAGATTACAGAAAATTTTTTATTTAATATCCAAAATCAATTTACTCCTGACTCCAGCCAAGTAATAAAAAGGATATTCACTCTTCTTTACCTTATTACCAACTGCAATAGTATTTTCATCAGGACTCCAACAAATATTGATATTTTCTCCTTTTGTATTTACAACATGAGCACACCTTGTACCTTCATGGTAAAACAACATGCTGTTAAACCAATATTTCTTTAAAAAACATTACATAGTTTTCAAGGTCCAGTAAAATTTATCAAAAGAGATTCTGGTTTGAAGTTCCAGTAACAACCAGAATGCTTTGTGTGCCCCATCATAATTTCATGCTACATGGAATTACTTTGGTGAGTTTTTGGGATATTTAGAGRTTGATTAAAATAGTCACAGTTATAGATAAAGTTACCAAGCTTTCAAATCAAAAATTACACACCCATATTATCACCAAAGKCAACACAAGTTTCAAAACTTGCATGAAAAACTGATCAAGCATTTCTTTTCAACACATACAAACAGTCACAAGGCATCCAGGGTGACTCATTCAGTCGTAGGTTATAATTTTGTATTACATGAAAGCTCAAACCCCAGGTTGTAGGAGAGCCCAAATCCTAATAATTTCTCTGAACTTCAAAGTCTATAATATGTAGAGTAGCCTCAATGACTTAGATATGATTGACTTAAATAATGTCTGAGTTAACTCCACTAACTAAGCGAGCAATAATTTCTGGTTAAACGATTGACTAAGATACAGTGGCAATGGTGCCTGGTTAACGGATATTACGTTATCCAGCTAGGGGGGTGACCTGATATAACCCATGCTGGATTGGTGAATATCTTACTTCTTGTGTCCCATATTCGGATAGTTTTGTCCCCAGAAGCAGTCACAAACAAGTCAGGATTGGTGGGATGCCAGCACAGTTGATCAACGCTTTCATTGTGACCTTTGTACTTGTTATCTGGAGTCTGAAAACAATACAAGATCAGTGAATGCATTTCCCACATATATCCACATTGTCCATACTAGAAGGCAGACATTAGCTGCATTGACCTAGAAATATTGTAGAATCTGTCTAACAGCGTCAGTTAATGGGGAGGACAGAGAACTAATGTCTAAATCAAAGGAATACAATTACATACAGAAATTGCTAGAACTCTACCATGATGAAGATAACAAAACATTCTTCATTAGCTTATCTTGTTCATTCATCCAACATGCCGGCGACGTCTTTGTTCTTTATTTCTCAGTGTCACATGATGGTTATGTTATATTTTACAACCGCCACATTGAATAAACAATGGCAAAGCATTCTTCATTAGCTTCTATTGTTTGTTCATGGCGGCAGTAGCTTTGTTCTTTATTTCTTAGGGAATTCATAGTCATTCAGTTGTACACCGAGAATTTGTTTGACTATTCTTGGCGTACATGTTACATCATCCACGCCATGTTGGATTAAAATCACAAAGCATTCCTCATTAGTTTCTCATTAGTTTCCAACGTGGCGGCAATAGTTTTGTTCTTTATTTCTCAGGGGATTCATGGTCACGTGGTTGCACACCAAGATTATGGGCATTTTATAATCCGTTCTCTGAAATATTATTCCTTATCCCATTTCAACACGTCCCCTGGACATTTACAGTGTAAGACAAGGGTATGAAAGCCAACTTTATAACGTAAGCTTAACTATGCCTACCAAACGATCTTTGTCCAAYAGAAACACCGACGCCGTTCTGTCAAACGAACCTGATGCCAACTTCCTGCCATCACAACTCCACGACACAGAATGAACCTATAAGAAATAAACAGTTAACTCGATTTGTTATTTTGGTGTATTGTGAGATATACAGTAAGCTTATGCTAAATCGAGAGTCGCAAAATTCACGCTTCGAAAATTTGAACATCTCTCTCTAAACATACATAACTTTTACATAAGAACGTTAACATGATAACTGCATGCATAAAATACATCTGCATTGCACTACCTTGGAGTTATGAGCTATAAAATCTTTAGTTTTTCCATTAATTTCAAAATATTTTCGCATTTCGTTCAAGTAGTCGAGTTTACTCGTGTTGGCCGCCATTTTGATTTACTAGTGCCAGTCTCCTGTCAGCTTTAGACTTTGCACACGGGCTTCCTGTGTTGACCAGCAGCAGAAGCCTCACCAGGACATAAGCAGACATAAGTGAAAACGAGGATTAAACGAAAGGAGAAAAACAGCAACAATGCACAATGAGCTGCAAGAGCAAGCTAGATAACACGTAAAACGAAAAGAAAACTAACAACGAGTTTTTAAAGTTAAAACTTTAAAGCTGCTCTTAAAAACCTTAATTTAAACAAACCTATGATCTGTAACTCTACAGTTAACTTTTTAATTTTAATTTTTACCTTTTTATTTGCGCTTAGAAAAAGTTATTTAACTATATAAGCTTAGATTTTTTTGTTATTATTAACGAGTGAGAAATCATTTTTTTGTGGGCGAATTATAAGAAAATACTGAAATCCACCGCATCTAAAAAATCCAGGCATCTTTGTCTGAAAGAACGCGTAACTGGTTTAAAACTATCCGGTCGAAAATATGTACTACGGAATAGTCCAGTATGTACGTTACGCAATCTGTTTAGACTGTGATAACAATAAGCACAATAAGAGGTGMAAGCAAGTTTAAGCCTCTGCATAAAACGTGCCCTATTGTTTTTATCCATAAAGAGCTTAATAAGAAAGCTTTCATTTGTTAATGTCTGTCATAAAGAATAGATCTCMAAAAAACGTAATATTTCCACGCATTCCATCACAAAATCCAGCTTTTCTGAACTTTCTCTGCCATAGACATTCAGCTCGATTGCATGCATTTATATTAACAGTTTGGTCACCTGTTGTCAGATTTTTGATCACATTTAGCACGCAGTCATTTGCCAAGGTAGGTGACTAAGTGTATGTTTGCGTGGTAATTTGTATTTGAAAATTTCAAAGCACGCTTAGCTCCTGCAAAGAAGATAAAGTTAACTTTTAATTAACTTCTAAGTGAAAGCCGAAACTGCTTATCTGCCTCGATGGCRCTTTTTTGTGTTCAAGAACCAACGATCGAAAATAACATGCACAGAGCAACAGAGAGAAAAAGAGTGCGACCGCGACAACAATCGCAACGRTTTGAATAGACTTGAGCTGTACCGTTGCCTACAATTACAACCGTATAAATCACTGAATCTCTCAATGTTAGTCAATAGTTTTGTTATATTTAACGTATATACTTTTGTTTGCAAAAACAACCAAATKTACATGGTGGCTAGTGCAGTGACTATTTCAGTGATCCGGTTAGTGTGTGACATTGTTTATGAGCTTACTCACTCTGTAGTSTATAAAGGCACTCATGCACTCAATTTGTACCACAGTACAATAAACAATGTCTTTTTTACAACTGTTTATTCWACTCGTGAGTTGGTTTGATGTAGCCACCCCCTTAAACAATCTCAAAAATCAATCAAACTCCTGTATGTCTATAACTTAGCGTTTACCATCCGCGTGTTCAGCGATAAATTTTAATTTCTGATCTTTTTTATAGATTTCGCCTTGATTACAGAACAATGTACAGAGAGATTGCTTTGACCATTTTGTTGCTGAATAGCATTTTAAGGTAAATAAATTATAGTTTAATTTTTCCTAACTAAAACTAGGTCAATATCTTTATCACATGTTATCATTCCTTGCACAGGCAGCCCGATTAACTAATGCTTTTTACTTTGTGATAGGGAAACGCTTTTCATGTGAATCGGATCCAATAGACTATTCAATAACCTAACCTCTACTACA